ACTGACAAGATGGCTTCCATGAGCTCAACCCTGCCTACCACCATCTAGGAGGTTCTCTTCACTCAACTTGAGGACAGGGATAGAATGACGATTTTGCAGGAGGACCTAGGAAAGCAAAGTAAACCTCAAGCAGAGGCCTAGTCCTCTTTCCTGATAATGTAGCCTTCATTGATCCTGGTGCTGGCTGTATGAGTTAACATTAGACTTTTATGGGGCTGCCTCAGTGTGCCTTTTTACTGTCATAAAACCATTTCAAGCTCTGGTTTCTATCATTAGGAAGGATAGGTCTATGATCAAGTGCTTGACATGAACTCAATACCATCACCAGCATCCAGCAACCACCACATTTAACTTCAATGATTCTGTTCCCCAGCTTCACCACCACCAATTTTAGCCTTATCAGCAGCATGGACGCCCTTTGACACTTGTCCAGATCCTTATGCTACTGAGCCTCGTTGCCAGGCTTGCTCTTCATTTTTCCCCAAGCAACAGAAATACAGGTTGCAGTGAATTGTCTCTGCAACATGTCATCGGAGCTTCTACTGAAGACAGCAAGGGCTGAACTGGTCAGCAATTCTAGGCTCATTTTTTTCCAGGGCCATCCGACTGTTTGTACCACCATCTACTGTTCAGTGATGGACACTGACTAGAGTATTCTTCTAGAGGTGCATGCGGATATTCATTCCACCACCAAGGATCGTGTTTCACATCCTCATCTTCTTCAGAAAGAATCTTCATCATTATGACAACCGACATGAGCATTGCATATATTGCTCTACCCTGTTTCTCTGCTGGCACTATCAGTCTTTGGGCAGCCATGATCTAAACCTCAGCCTTTGCATTCATTAGGAGGCAGGCCTACAGTTCTTGCGTTAGATTAAGAGACCCCTTGCAAACTTTACTTTACCTCCAGGCCATCATGTCAGACAGAGCTGCAACCCGAGATTTCACTTAACTTTCCTCCTTGTCATTGACTCCTAGTCTATGTTAACCTCTCCTCCGATTCAAGGTCACTATGAGCCATTCCTAATATTCAGCTTTGCCCATAAGGATAATCTTTATGAATATATTTTCTTTTCTTCAGAGAGTATATATGGTGAGAACCATTCTTAGGAATGTGGCAGTTGGGAGAGGGAGTCTCTTTTTGGTGAGTGCTCTGTCCTGTTCATCCTGCGATGATGTCATTAACAAGTTCCATAGCTTAAGTATCTCTTCCCTCTGTCCTCTAGTAGATCATGTCCATGGGGAGGGAATAACAGGTTTTGGTATGTGTTTCATGTTTTTCGTTGGCAGTGAGGTTTCTATGCTTGAGTCTATCTTACTACTTTCCATCTTCACTTATGTAATTAAAATTTCATAATGACACATCGATCTGGTGATTGTGAGCTTGGAATCAACTTGCACCACATCACCTTTTATCATGTGAGCTTCCCCTTTCTCCTGTGTTCCCACAGAAGTGAGGTGTAGCCAAAAAATCAATACACCCGAAGGACCCTCACTTCACAAGAATCACTGTGAAGTCAGTATTCGACTAACAGGCTCAGGTAAAGTTGGACAAGTCTCCACATGCAAAATGGGGACAAATAGACACTGGATTGTGGAGCTGTCATGGGCATACACACATGGGAAAATGATGGCAAAGATCAGAGCTCTGAAGACAATAGGGATGAGAGGCTTTGTGAAGAATGCACCAATTCTGATGGACCTGTGGAGTCAAGCTACCATGATGTCAAAGATATGGGGGTTTTCTGATATGTATTATTTTTATATGTCACGCCTAAGAGACAAATACAATCACTACTACCATTTTACAATCAATCTGTGCATGCCAGACCACAATCTTGAAGGACAAGTTATTATTATGTAGGTGTCTAATGGCATATGAAAAGGTCACAACATCATGCCTTGGTTATATGGATCCATAAGGCCTTGACAAGGTGGATAAGAATTATGTCAGACCACACTCATTTTTTCTTGATCTGCTGATGTACCCGGAATCATCCTGGGTATCCTTAGATAGCATAGAAGGGGGAGTACCTTTTGATAAAGGAGATCTGTGATGCACAGGCAGTGCCTCACTCATTAAAACATGTGTATATATAACTGGAATGGTATAACTATGCCACAGTGAGGCCTTACCTATGTCTATCGTCAGAGGAGGGATAAATCTATCAGATTTAGAAAAAAACCAATTTTATATACACTGACCGACAAAAATAAAGAAACACGTGGTTTTTTGATTGGAGTCGCAATAGCTCCTCAACACTGCGATATTTTTTCAGACTTTCAGTGAGAGAAATGTAGCTTAATTGATGTAGTTTATTGTTAGAAAAAGAATGAGGTACATACATGAAAAAAACGATGAGATATAAATATGTTAGCCGAGAGTGTCATTTTTAGCAGTGTAAGTAAAATGAGAAAACAAGATAATTGACCTGACGAAAAGTCCAACAACCTAATATCTAGTATGCCTGCCCTTTGCCAATATCAAGGACCTCACCCGTGATGGGATACTACCATATAATGCATTGCAATACTCTTTTCCAAGTGCAGCCCACTCCTCCTGCAGAATGGCAAATAATGTGGCAGTCGTTGTCAGGTGATGTGGTCTGTTGTTCAGACGATGTTCGAGAGTAGCCCAAGCATTCTCTATGATGCTTTGGTCGGGGCTGTTTGGTGGCCAGTCCATTACAGAGATGTTTTGGTCGGCAAGCCACTTTTTCGTAAGCCGAGCTGTGTGCTTGGGGTCATTATCCTGTTGAAAAAGGACATCGTCGACTGAGAGTTCGTAGTCCTGGAGGGTGCTGAGAAGTCCTTCATTAAGTATCTGGCAGTACTGGACAGCATTCATAGTGCCTTCCACCAAAATCAGCCATCCGAAGCCCAAACTCGTCATGCATCCCCAGACCATCACCCCCCCACCTCCATGCTTCAACCGGGGCAACACGTTATGCACATCTAGTGCCTCACCAGGACCCCTACGACACCACTGCACTCCGTCCGACCCAAAGAAGTTGAATTTGGACTCATCTGAGTAGAGCACAGTACCCCATTTTTCTGCTCCCCATTCTGCATGTGCCTCTGCCCACACCCTTCGCTTTCTAACATGAGCCTTCGTGAGCATTGGTACCTTCCACCTCTTGTAACCCTTCAGGCCCTCATCTGAAAGCCTGTGCTGCACAGTGCGCTCCGAAAGATGGTCAAAATACCCCCATTGAACATCGACCACTGTTCAGCAGCTGTGACTACGGATTTTTCGCATGGCAAATTTAATATCTGCATCGTCCATCTTGCACGGGCGGCCTCGCCCTTCAATGCGAGCATAGTAGTTCTCCTTCCCTTCATATTTGTGGCCAGTTTTGCAGATGGTAGAGCATGAACATCCAATGACATTGCTGATTTCAGTGCAGGTGTGGCCTTCATTGAGGAGAGTGCAAATACGGGCTGCTTTTGTAGGGGTAATAGGCACATTTGGTTTGCGAGGAGGAGGTGAATACATGATAGGAATTTCAGTGCAATCGGCCCAGGTGGTGGTTCAGATTCAAGTTGGTTCTGACGTTGATGTGATGCCATTACATCATCAAAATTGGCATGTGGTTTCGCAGCCCTCTTACTTTGCTCACTGACTGGTATTTTTGCCTCATTCTTTTCATAATATTAAACTACAGATATCAAGCTACATTACACTCACTGGAAGTCCAAAAAAATATTGCAGCGTTGAGGAGCTATTGCGACTCCGATCAAAAAAACCATGTGTTTCTTTATTTTTGTCGGTCAGTGTATGTACTAATTGCAGGAAAGTTGGCAAGGCATGCGGTTACAGCTCTTTACAAAAGGTATGCAGGGTATGCAACCATTTTAACATCTGACCCTCACAGCACCTCTGATGAATTCCAGACCTGCTATCCACTGAAGTCATCATATGCTCATGTAATGAGACAGCAGGTCCTTGGATTCAGATTATCTCAAATGATCTTGCATTAAGTTGACCTGTACTGGATCGAGTTCAAGCAAAGAGGGATTAACCTCCACATATTGCATACTAGGTGGCATTGGAAGGGCACAAGAGATAATTGGTAAATGGAAAGCATGATAATGCTTACAGCCAGGAATATTGGCTTGCTAGCACCCTCTTTGGCTATGATAGCGTAAATCATCAAGCATTCGCTCTGACAATCCAAAATTTTGAATAACTTGGTTAGGATGAAGACAAAGAGGGTCATCAACCAAAAGATGTTCAAACCCTCACTAACTATCTAAAAGCTGGCTTTCAAGGAACATCTCATTTGGAGAAGCCCTCTTGCCTCCATGAACAGCAATTTTGTGAGCATTCCATGCATGTGTCTATCTTTGCACATCATCATTGAGGTCCCCAAGGAAAAGGAAGTGCAGAAGGGCCAGATGCTCATTGTTATCTCGTTCTAAACCATGATGCCACTCAAGATCCTCAAAGAAAGAAATCCACTTTTTGAGAAAGCCTTCCACAACAACCACCCAAGGTCTTTCAATTCAAGTGTTGTAAACAGACCTGGAGAGATGGATCAGTGTCATCTCAAACTTTGCCTGAGTTATCTTCACCTTCCCCATATGTAGCCATTGTCTCCTCAATAATGGTATATCCATTGGGCCACCATGGTGTTTTCAATCCCGTGGTCCTCACAACACTGCATTGGTACTCCCCAAAGCATAATCACTTCAAGAAACAAGTCTAAAACAGTCCTTTGCTTGTTATTACCTGACACCCTAATTCTGAAGACAGCCTGTCTATGAACATATGGACCATGAATTTCCAGTGGATGAGCTTTAAGAACAATGCCATCAATAAAGCTGATAAATGGAATGACTAGGCATGCACTATGGTTTCCATCATGATGGCAACACGAATTAGCATCAGGAACAAAATAGGATTGCCAAGGAATAGAGTGTCAACCAAATTGCCTAGGAGGACCATGTACTCTTTCATATGAGCTCTTAATCCTCTCTTGAGATACTTGTAAGCCTCAGCTAGCAATTACACCAGACAGCATTATGCGACCATGGTGAGGGTGATCCATGAGTATCTCGTGGACCATAGAGTCAAGTTTTTCATCTGAAAGGTTGGACATCTGAGGGCAAGTGATGTGATGGCTCCAACATTCTGTCCCATCATCTGTGACATGAATCTGGAAGGGTGCCTGTCCTGGCAATACAAGATTCCACTTGAGCTGAAGCCTTCGGATGGTCCTTGCACTAAACCCCAACAGTCTGCCTATTTTCACAGTGCCACCATAACTCATGGTTAAATCCTTAAGGAGCTGTGGGTCAATGGAGGCAGAAGGTTGTCCTTTCCTTTTCGATGGTTTGGTTTCACCAGGAATTACAACTGGTGGATAGTGCAGAGGATCAGAGGAACATAGAGCAGCTTCACAAAGCAGTCTCTTGAAAGTCTGGACATTTCTATGGATGGTAATAGCTTGCTTGTCAGACAGTAAATGTTGAAGCTATGTGGAACTGTTAGAGCTGGATATTGGACTTGAGAAGTGGTGCACCCTTTCTAGCAAAGCCTCAAATGATGCTATAACATTCTGCTGCAACTGAAGTCTATGAGGATCTTCCAGGATGACGTTGAGTAGACTATCAACCAAATGTTTGATTTCAGCATAACATGAAAGCAAAGTGCATGCTGGAAGAGATACAGTTTCATCATGAAGGATGTTCATCATGACACGAGAGATAATGATACATTACAGGCATGCTATAAACCAGATCCATGGAATCAGCACATTTGTTTCAAGTGCCGGTGTGAACAGGTTGTTCAAAGTGGCAGTTGTATGTGTCGGCGAATTCTCAGTGGAATACTTTGGCTGATGTAAGTGACTCGAGGGACATGATATCATTGTCCCAATACTGACAGTTGACTCAGCAATCACCACATTCTTCCAATGACTGATGGTCAGGGTGGGGTGTGCATATTCCAGCATGGGGTGGGTGTAATCTTCATGGACATCCAGATTGGGAGTAGCCTTGCATTACTAATCTTTCTCGTTTCAGGACATCTACATTTTTTAATGCCCTGACCAGTGTTGCTTTGGAAGATTGACTGTTGGTCGGTCCACAATTCAAATCAAGGGAATTTCTCAACTGGATGAAGGAATATTACAGCAATATCGAACTGTATTCTATAGTTTGGCTTGAACAAGCACATTAACAAACATTAACACAGACTTGCAAAGAATACAGCTTAGCACAAAAGAAAAGAATCAGGGACCTGGCGACTGCATAGAAATAGGCAATTGATGTATCACACTTTACTGCAATTATAGACACTGATATATTGATATATTAGTTTGTTAGATGGTGGCACAATGACTTTATGGATACAGGGTGTGTTAAACCTAGACATGATCTTGAAACAAAAAACTGTCATACAAGAAATGCCAGGTGACAATATCTTATGAGGACAGATGGCTATCAAGAGAGAGAGAGAAAATAGAAAAAGGCCTAATGGTCTATAATCCTAAATCATGTAGAAGTAGTGGTTCATGTTTAATAGTAGACATGTTCACATGGCAGAGTCCACATCATGCCCCAAGCTCAATGCATGCCTGCTTGTGGGGATTTACGTTGTTTATCATTCCACTCCGAGTACGTACACTTGAGCTGTCTTTCATCACACTCACTACAAACCTGCCAGTTAGTAAACTTTAGCCTAGGGTGTAGCATACTGGACACTTACTTGCAGGTTGTATCCCCACTGCCTTCTTTGGACCTCCTGCAGCACATGTGGTGTTTTTTGCAGAATTGGCAGGCAGAGCGCAAAGTTGAATGGGTAAAAGGCCTAGGATAATTGCACTCAAGCTGTCTTCTATCACATTGACTACAGGTAATATGTCAATTAGCCAATTTTGGCATAGGGTATGACATACTTGACACTTACTCGCATATCATATTTGTACTGCCCTTCTTAGACCTCTTGCAGGCGAAGTGATTTTTTTGACAAGAGAAGCAGACCAAGCCACTGTTCTTGGTCAGCATCCTTCCTGTAATACCATGGCTCCAGCTAAGTTTCATTGTTGGATAAGTTCACTTGAGTTGTCTTCGAGCACATTCACTAAAAACAACATGCCAATTGGTGAACGTGGGCATAGGGTGTAATAGGGTGTAGTATACTAGACACTTACAAGCAGGTGTTACCTGAGCTCCCCTCCTTTGACTTCCTACAAGCGTAGTGATGTTGTCTGCAAAAGGAGCAGGAGGGGTACTGCCATTTTGAAGGTTCCAGATAATTGCACTTCAGTGCCCTTGCGTCACACTGGCTATCATCACTACCTGTGCTCCTCTTCCTGTCAGGATTCATTGCTGGAGCAGAAGGAGAATTTCCATCTATATAATCCAGGATCCAGTCAGAATCTGACAATGCCATGGTTGGAGTGGAAGGAGAGTTAATGTATATATCGGGATCCAGGATCTCATCAGAATCCAATGATGCCATGGCTGGAGCAGAAGAAGAATCGCTGTCTAGATCAGGATCTGATGATGCTACTACTGGAGTGGAAGGAGAGTCTTCAGCATTCATATCAGAATCCCAGGCCAGCATCTGGAAGTGCTCTGCATGACTGCAGGAAAGGATAGCATAGACGAGACAAGCATTTCACAGAACAATTCATCATAGCTCAAGTGCATATGATTCAAAACTGTATGGAGCTCATGCTGCTGGGAAGAGTTACCATACTAATCTCATGTCAGTTTGAAGAAGTGCAATCAGAGAACATTGGCTTACTTGGACTGACTGGGTAGTTGGATAGGCAATACTAAAACTCAAGAGGTATTCATCAAAGAGGGCCGGTGCCGGTATGATATCATGGTTCTGCCACAATCCATGGTTATTATCATCATCATGGGAAATGTAATCCCTGCCCATGGAGTATGCAGAATGTAATGAAGAAATAGCAAATCTAGCTGTTCCAGCCAAGGGAATTTGTGGGAAAACTTGGGAGGTCTACAGTTGTTTCAGTGAAAACAGCTAGATCAAGAGGCCTGAAATTGTACCGTCATCTGCTGCAAGATTCCCCATGTGAACAGTGTAGGATGGGGGTCAAAATTCACACTTGGTGGAAATAATGTGTTGGTAGAGGCACTTGGGTAGGCAGAAGTCATGCCTGCAGCTTTGCTTTGCATCAAGGAAAACTCGACATTATAGCTTCCTTGTGTGACATTCTGTGGTGATGGAAACCACTGATATGGCCTATTGTCGGGGACAATGCACAAGAGTGAAAGGGGACTGCTTCTTGAATGCTTAGATAAGTCTGAGTGTAAGCTGGGTTTAGTAGTCAGCAGAACAGCCAAATAAAATGCGATGAAAAGAGTGAAAAGGTGATGGTGGAAAGAGGAGAACTTCATGCTTCTATTTGACAGCTTCAAGGGAGGTGCTGTTATAAGGACTTGCAAAGGTTATTTGATGTACCTAGGCTAATCAAAGAACAGGGATGATAAATAAGGCAATGTCATCAGTGAGTCAAAGCGAGTCATTGTTCTGTGGTCTTGAATTTTAGGAGGTTGGTGATACATTACAATACAGGTGTTCTTGGCAGTTGTGATAATTTGAATCCCATATGCATACAATCAAGGTCCTTCAGAACAGAGGTCTGGAGAATACGAAATAGCATGGTACAAAATGAAGAGTGAGAGATGGTGATGATGCAATGAATTCTCTTTGCTGAGAGATCTTTGAAAAGATAGTGTTGAGTATCTTGATCCTCCCACGTAAGAGGTACCCTGTCGAATACTTTGATAAGCTACTTTCTGGCTCTCAGTATGGGAATGTTCCATGGCTAGAACTTATCGGAACTGTTGCAAAACTGTTATCACACCTGCTTGACATGCTGAGAGTATTAAATATGTTCAAGCAAAATGAACAAAAAACAGACATTAACATACCTGTCTGTTGAACATATTTCAATACAAATTCAAGCGAGAAGTTTAATGTGCACTCTTGAGAAGGAGGAAGATATGAGAGTCTGTGTATCGGTGTCACAAGGAATGTCTTGATGCTTCTGATAGTATCTTCTAGGTTACTGGGACCTTTGCTGCTCTTGCCGCATGTCAACCTAGATGTGCTGCTGCACTGATGCCTTCAAGGCAGCTTAATCTGTTGCCATCCCAAAAAGCCTCAAACCACTCATTCAATGTCAAACATTGAACACCCAATATCTGCAGCATACAACTTCCCATTCGAAATTTCCAGATTATCTACAACTGGTGCTGAAGAAAAGATATTTCAATAACATTTACTATCTTCCATTACTCATGACTTGAGATTGGCAGTACTATGCTGAACCCTTGCCGAATCAGAAAGGCTAACTCAGTGATGCCGGTTTTCACTTCTTTGGTACTTTAAATCGGGGATTGAGATTGAACAATCAACTAGGGCAAAGCAAATAATCTTCTCTTAATAATGATCATGACGTTGGCCCAAAAGTATAGTCATCGCAATGTATAGAAAATTCTTATTCAATTTGGGTACCATAGGTGATCAATGATCTATCTGTCCAATAATAGACATCCCAATTTCTCTGCACCAACCCCGAAGGAATCCCTACAAGGATGTACAAGTATATAAAGGTTATGGCCACATAAAGAGATTCTTAGGTTCCTCATCAGGTCCTGATACAGTGTACACCTAATCAAGGCACATATTTGATTGGCAAGTGTACTTTGCTTTGAGATATTGAATCTGGACTTGGCATGCCTATTGCCAGTGAATAGATTTCTCCTACCTGAAAGAGATTATGAATATCCATCGAGCATGGAGAAGGTTCCAATCAACACATGATTATCCCTGGCCACTCCTCAGAGATAGTACTGACTTCTGTATGCATACTGCTGTATTTTCTGTCATTGAAGCACTATACATATCCTCAGTGGTACAAGCGCACATGCTTACGTAGAGGTTGGCTGGTGCAGTATGTGATTGTCATGTTGTTGTCATGTGACATCATCCAGTTCATCACGCAGTCGATGCATATACCAATAAATCATGGAAGTTGCACACTTAACCCATATTTTTGGTTGGACTTACTGCCCATATTGCAAAGAAGTGGTTCTGACGAGCTTTACCAGTCTGTCACATGTCAGCTCTATTCTTGTCATTCATTTGTGTGGTAGTTACCAGTCCAAAATCTATTTCCAGTTCTCACACCAGGCAGGCCAATTCTTTTGGCATTAGCAATTGTAGCATTGACTTTCAGGATGCCAGTGATTTGGGGTGTGCCCACAATATGGATACATTCAAAAATATGATGCCTTTGTGGTTCAGAGCTTCCTGCTCAGTGTGCTTTTACTTTTCAAACATCTAAAGCTCAAGGAAGGACAAAGGCACAAATCAAAAACTAAAAGACTAGCTTTATTGGCTATCTCTGCTGATACAGGTCAGGTACATAAGCGTAAACTACTAATCTAACTTACACCCTAGAAAGCCTGATGAAAGTGTCCCAGAATCTCTGGCAATTTTCTTGACCGAGCCTCTTTATAAAAACGAAGGATGATGTTATATTTATCATGGATATTTCCCTCATTATCACATTCAGAGATATTGCCCCTTGCAGTCTTCTGACTATAATTCGTAGTGACGAAGGGTCCCTTGCTGCAATGTTCCCCATCCCTCCTCCAATACCATTCTGCTGAACAACATTGTAAGAAGAATTTTCTTATCCTGATTTCACTAGAAGCTGTCTGGTTCCTACACAGATCCAATGATTTTAATTGGAATTTAGGTCCTCTGTCAGGCTCAGCCACTTTTGAGGTCCAGTGGGCATTGCCAAAAACTAATGATACTTCATAGCAGTTTCCGGATTGGTGGTGCAAGCTTGTACACCACATGAAAAGCTTTAACTCTGATACCGTCCCATCATGTGGCATTATAGAACCTACCATCTCACAACAAACAAACTTTCATTCAAACTTCATCTTATTTGGCTGTCATTGCAGTAAAAGGGAGTCACGACATTAAAAATCTGTTGTCACGGTTGCTAACTGGAGGCATGAGGTTTCCATAATGAATATTCATAACTATCACAAAAGTGTGACTCTCAGCCATCCAAGTGACATCTCTCTTTCACCCAGTTTGATTTCGTCACACTTGTCAAGATACGAGAAAAGTAGACAAACTTAAAACTGTGAGTATTGCAACTCGCTTTGCATCGCCAAACCAAGACTTGCACATTTCTCTTATGAATGACATTCTCTAAGATTATTCTTTTAGATTATCTTGAGTTTCACCATACCAGAAACAAGCGAGGGTTCTCTTAGACATCTTGCTGCAGCAAAGCAATGTCTTCATCTGCCTTACAAGATGCCTCGCTGCAGCAGGAAAATAGTTCTATTTTGATGCACTGATCAAGGTCCAGTATTTTGATGAAAACTCTCATCAAACCTCATTCTCTTGTCCCTCTTCTGAAATCTCAAAGGCAAACAGTTATGCACAAGACACGACAATGCACCGGACCAATCCCCATGGTAAGAGGCTGCCACAGGGAGCACCCAGGCTGCCTCCTACTCCAGGATCTTTGGAGAAGATATTTCATACCCAGGGAACAACAGATCATGAACTGCTCCATCCTCCACCATCATTCATTGAATCCCCTTTGACGGTGCATAACAAGTTGAACAAGTCTGTTCTGGTACTCAGACTACCTCTCTTACCCCCCTACCCCCCTATGGTAAAAATTGATCACAGGAAGCGATGCCTCCTCTTGCTCCAGAATACTCAGAGAAAATACCTATGCAAGGGAGGACTGGACACGAGCCAGTTCCCCTTCCCACCCAGCAAGGTTATCATCTGTTGTCATTCATTACATCACTGGCTGGGTGTTTTCTACCCCAGCAAGGCTATCACAGTCCATCACTGCTCGTTACATCACCAGTTGGGTCTGTTCCACCCCAGTTGGACTATCATCTGTTGTCATTTGTTACATCCCCTGTCAGGTATGTTCCAACACACAGTTTATGTCCTGCACATCTCCTTGGTAAAAGGCCTTCACAGGATGCAGAACTTCTCCTTGCTCCATAATACTCAGAGATACCGATTCAGAGAATGACAGAATATGAGTCAGTTCCCCTTCCACCCCAGCATTTTTATCCTTTGCTATCATTTGTTGCATTGTTAGCCATAGCGAATGGCAAGTTTGACAGGTTGGATTCAGCAGCCAGTATACCTACAAGATCTCTGCAGTGTGCAGTGCAGTGTCATGCTCTGGTACCCAAAGGGATGATACTGCCATAGCAGGAAATGCTGACAGATCACAAGTTAGCCAGTCCACAGGCCATTCCACCCCAGTAGCTTGGTAGCGCACCTCTGGGCCCACATTATCTGCTGAACATGTATGCCTCTCCACTCCCTCCACTGATATTGCCACTGGAGGCATGTCTAGCCCTACCCGTTCATCAATCTTTGATCATTTTCCTTCAACCAACCGATAGCCCTTCACTAACATCATTCCATAAATTCTATTTGATGACAATTTGCCTCATGATAGAAAGACATTGGGATGTATATGCCCATTACTACTGTGATGCAATTTCAAGGATGCTACCACATACTGAATTTATTGAAGCAGCAGAATGTGTTGTGTATAAAAATATAGTGAGACCCTTCTTGTGAGCTATCATTATGCTTGCTCATTCATTGAACATATTTAATAGGCTGCCATTGAACTTGCACAAGAGTCTCTTTCTCTCCTCAGTTATATGGTATCCTATCCAATGTTGTTCCCTCATGCCTTGCAATGGTTTGCTATGCACACTCGATTTGGAACCATACAAGACACAAGCTGAGGACTCTGGATTCAACCAAGGATGCTGTCTCTAATGGAATCCTGAGAAGAATACCTGGCTCCCTGGACTGCTTTGCCAGAACTTGATAGTATTTACTCAAGATTGAAGGCAAGTCTGGATGAACATCCACCCCTGTTTCTTATACAGCCTCTGTTGGTAAGAGTGCTTTGCTCTCAAATATCCACAACAGATGTTTACCCTTGGAATACATTCATTCATTTTAGTGTACGTGCATGGTGATGGCATCAAGTCAGTACCTCTATCAGTGACTCTGATGGTTGTTCCAGAAGTCTGTGTGCCTACCCATACAGAAGCCTGTTTCATGTTTCTGCATGGTCATACATAAATATAGTATCTGCTTCTTGAATGTATATAGTCTGCACTGTGTTTATGATACTGCCATCTCCATAAAAATTTCATGGGGTTCACCGTTTTCTCTCATGTTGCTGATTGTGGGCTATCTTAGATTAGAATTATTAGCCCAAGTGTCACAGATGGCGCATTCTCACAATTTCCATAGGAGCACTAACATTGTCATGTATGCTAAGGATTGATATTACATACTTACATGATATGTATACAATTCTGTGTCAGGGGTACTTTGGTTTAGTACAGTCCTAGTTAAGTAGTTTAGGGGTTCAAGCATGAATGCTATAGGTTTCCACTAGTTAAGTTTGGTTGGGGTAGGTCGAGTTACTTTGTGTAACCGTGGGTAGTTGTTTGATAAGTGGTCAGGGTCTTGAAGAGTGAAGTTGATGGTGCATTATAAGCGTACCTAAATAAACTATAGTTAATAAAATAGGCATGTCATGAGCATGCCTGGAAATATGGTTTGTTGTTTGAGAGGGCATGTCATGAGCAAGCCTAGAATAGATGTATTGATAATTCTTGCAATAGGGCTTGATGAAGTGGTAGGCCATCGCAGGGCATGGCATGTCTGAGTCCTGCCAGGCTTTGAGAACTTGGAAGGCAAAAGTTTTATGCAACTGTTATTACTCTCAGGAAATAATATAGGGCCATGGATTCAGCTAGAAAAGGGTCACCACATGTTGGTGAGCATCTTCCATCGGTATAGATATAGAGGATAATTCTGATATCAAACAAAGGACTGGGATTGCATGCTTGCATGTCTTTACAATCACCCCTGCATCTGTGGTCCACCTCCCAATTTCACTGTATGCTCAAAGAAGAGCATGCCATCACTGCCCAACAATCAGCAAGCGAATGAAAATGAAAAGAGGAGAAATATGTACTCTGTATACAAACATATTTTGGCAGGATAAGTTGGTGAGGGTCTTGCATGATGTTTCAGTAGATGTGGGAAGAACACAGAACAGAGATGCTTTGCGCAACCATCTGGCTCAGTGAAAGGGTACCTACTACCCCCAAATATTACTCATACAGGTTGAAGTAACCCATTTCTGCTACTGTGTTTGAGTCCAGCCCCACGATTCTAACAGTATGCCCCAGAAAACTCAATAGATGTGCAGTTGACATATGTGCTGATGGTGCGCCATTGCCATCAACAGCCTGGCTCATGACAATGAGTACATGCATGGCAGCCTTGCAACCAAGGAGACATAGCACACTGTTACACTCATAAAGTCTGCAGATATCCTGGCAGAGTTCATGACTTTGACAGACTTGATGGTTTAAATTTGTCGGCTGTTCAGTCAAATGAAGGGTTCACAAAGGCAACTATAGGAGCTGAGTGCTGAGGCCAAAGTTTGGCTGAAGTTGCATTCCCTACAGTCCCTTCTTGAAACAAGTGTGACCTGTCTACAATCCCTTCTCCCCTTCAATTTGGCTCTCTGCTATAGCCACAACCCTCTTCCTTCGAGCCTGTCCCTCCCCTCTATACTCACTGTTATCCACATCTGGCACTTGTGCTTGCTCAGAGTGTGTATGCTCCTAAGCTAATAATAGTTAGAGCATGTGTAGACATATCATTAAAATACACACATTTGAACCCTCCTGCCCATGTACTCCTGTCTCAAACAAAGAAACACTGACCCAGCATTCCCAGAGCCAGCCAACCAAGGCCTTGTCCTTGTCAAACCAAGCCAGCCAAGTTGGTATCCTTCACATCTTGTTAGTATCAAGCTTGGCAAAGACAAGCTCTACCCTTACCTCATAACCTGCCAGCATGGCCCAACAGAACCAGATTTTTAAGTATGATCAGATCGATCAGACATTCAGCATGGTGTGATTGAAGAAAACTGGCCAATGCAGACAAGTCAGCACCTTGGAAGTAAGTTACAACTAATAAATGCACCATGATCCTTCTCATCCATCTCCAGTAACTCAGACATTATCCTTCAGCTGGTATTCAATCCAAGTGGCCACCTAGCACAATGGGGCAACATATACATCAACAGTGTCAAGCCTGCCTCATCAGATATGCTGAGTATGATCCAAGGAAACTGTCAAAAAAATCAGTTCTCAATGCCTTGCATGCAAGTAACAGCCAACAAACACACTATGATTTCTGGAATTCCTCTCCCATGCCTCCAGACATTCTCCTACCACTCACAATAGGTCCAAGGGGGCCGTCAAGCTATTGAGGAACAGTTTGCCACTGGAAGAATCGTTTGACAGGCACACAGCTCTCATTTCCCCAGAGAGCTGCATCAGTGGAGGAAATCATGGCCAATCCTTGAATCACGTTAGTAGATATAACAAGTATCAATCAATCCATACACACCCTGTCCAAGTCAAACGATATAATGTAGGCATGACTAGAAAAGCAGTTTTACACAGGTCCTGACCAAAGAAGGATGTGCATCCATCAGAGCTATATACTCTGGCAACAACCTGAGATTGTTCTGTCCCACTTTCAACTTTGTAATATCATTAAGAAGCTGTCAGGATAGGTTGGTCAAGATGCCATAGTGCTGTTTGATGAGATGAGGAAGGTTGAGGAAGTGTTCCCACAGGAAGGCTTGTCTTGCACAAAGGGACTTCAAGAGTTGGTTGTTACATTATTTGACAAAAAAATGACACTGGAAAAGAGCAATCATTGCTCAAAAACAAAAACAGGGCCTGGCCTGGCTGGCCTCGAAAACTGAACAACTGTGATGTGTGACAATAATGCAGTTGACTCACAGCATGCACATCATAGCAAATTGTCAGACTATCACCATCACACACCACCACCGAGATGCTCAGATTAGCATAGACTGAATCCTGTATACACAGGACTCGGAACATAGTCAGCTTAAAAGTGTGTGTGTAGTGTGATGGGTAAAAAGTTGATGATCTCATTTCTTCTTTTCTACTCTATTTATACTTACTAGCTGTTGGGATTTGGCAATCTGGCATCATGCCAAGTCTGCTTATTAAGGAAGAAGTCTGAGAAAAAGTGTGAAAAGTTCTAGTAAAAGTACTGTAACCCGGATGCCGGTTACATCGGCTATTCCCGATGTGACATAGATACGAGGGATTGCCATGTCACGTCTCTTTAGTTTACCACCACCATCTGTACCGTCGTCTCACGAATACCGAGCTGGTTCCTTGCACATCTGTGTGAACGAGTTCTTCAGTGTAGCTCCGTGGCTACGAGCTTCCACTTTTTTTTTGCAATCCAACTTGCTCTCTTCTTTCGCTTTCGTTCCCACACTGGACGCTGCCACGTCATCACGCCGTTTCACGCGCCGTACCGCGCAGCAGTACCACCTACCCGTCTTTGAAGCCTTGGACGATCCAGACTTACATCAACAACCCGACAAACACGCTACAGACCCTCGTCTATCTCCCGTTCCCAACCGTTCATCGTCACCATTGACTGAACTTGATTCTTCTTGCTCGCCTAGCCCTCAACCAATGTCTTCGAAATTAGATCTCCCTACCCTCGCCAATGTCACCTCGATTGCTGCACTCACATGGCTGACTCGCTGCGCAGACTCCTTTGAGGCCTGGTCTGCTCTCAATGCCGATAAGAAGATCAAACCCGAGACGCAAATACTAGTTGCTGGATTGAAGATGGAACATGCTGAGGCCGCTGCTTGGTGGAATGAGAACCGGGAGTCGTTAAAGAAGCTGGCATCATGGGATGAGTTTGTCGCAAAGGTGAAGGATCGTTTTGTCCCCTCCAACTGGCGTTTGGATGCACTTGCTGCCTTCTACTCGGTAAAGCATGCACCTGGGACGGACTTCCAGTCTTTTGTGTCAGACCTCCAAACTGCGCGGAATGCCCTCGCGTCTGCTGGCACTGGCTACACCATCACCGACTCTTCTGTCAAAAATCATCTATTATTCTTCGCGCATCCCATTTTATCCCTTCGCGTCCGTAGTACTACGGGTTTTGCGTCAGTCTACGGAACCATGAAGCTTGATGCCTTGGTCAATCTGATGTCTACGACTTGGGCGAGCCTAATTGCAGAGAACGTCGTTCGAATCAAGAATGTTCAGACTAGTGACCAATCCCATGCCATTCCGACTGCCCACATCACTTCTACCCATCCCACAGCATCTACGGCCGCGTCAAACGGTTCACGTTACCCTTTTCCGGATCTTTCCTATGCCGAGAAAGAGGCTCTTCGGGCTTCTGGAGGTTGTTTCCATTGCAGGAAGACCCCATCTTCGCTGAACTGGACGCAGCACAGCGCACGTAACTGCCCTGGAGATTCAGCTGCCGGTGTCGCTCCACGAGCCACCCGCCCTCTACTCCCTCACCAACGAGTAGCTGGAATTACTTTTGGGGATGCCGAGATCCCGGAAACGCCAGGCTCCTTTGTATTAGATGGACCCGACTCTTCGGACTCGGACTACGACACCGACCATGACTTTGACTAAAGATTTCCCTCACTACCCGTTGTCTTTCGCATCGCTTTCGTACTCGCTTTTCTTTGATTGCTATCGTCTTCAGCCATGTTGCAATATTTTGGTCACTTCTGTCCTTATGTTCGCACCCGTGAAAGATAATACTTTCCTTGTTCGTTTCGTCCGTGACAATGGTCTTCATGTTCCAGCGTTCCTTTTTCTTTATGTTTCTTTCTACTTGGACTAGTACGTTTGTTTTTTTTAGAGTGGGGAGGAGTGTAACCCGGATGCCGGTTACATCGGCTATTCCCGATGTGACATAGATACGAGGGATTGCCATGTCACGTCTCTTTAGTTTACCACCACCATCTGTACCGTCGTCTCACGAATACCGAGCTGGTTCCTTGCACATCTGTGTGAACGAGTTCTTCAGTGTAGCTCCGTGGCTACGAGCTTCCAAGTACATTTAGTATAAAAGTAGGTACTGTAGCATAGATCCTCATGTGTTTGCAGAGCTCAGCCAAGCACAATACTATTGGCTTGCTACCATGCATGTGACACTGGGAATAAACTGATACCCCTTTTTCCAACACTAGCTTTATTATTATCATATTGGATTCAGGCTGTGCAATCCTGTGCCTTGCCAGTGCATCTGACATTCTCTCTTTTTCTCTGTTCTTCTCCCTTCTTTTATTACCTTCCTGATTCTTCCTATACTGTATGTCATTCTGACATCCATGAGGAATGAAAGAATATAACTGCTCTCAGTTATTGCCATACTTATTCAATAGTCAACTAAGTTGATCATGATCCAAAAAAGTACATAAGTAAAGAAAAATAGTACCATGAAACAGAATACATAAAAGAAATACATGAGTATGCTTTGAATGGAAGGGAGTAGTTGGTACAATTCCATGATGAGAGAACTGTTTAAATTTCCAGAGTAAGTGTGGTGTGTAGATATCTGTGAACAAGAGGAGAGTACCTTTCGAATTCAATGTCATATTCTGTGTGAGTAGGAATAAGATTCAAGCTGGGTTTGCATCCTAATTTGGCCTTCACTAGCTCCCACACATGCTTGTATTTCTTCCACTTTGGTAACATGAAATCAGTGGCTCATGTGATCATGGTGACTTTATAATGCCCTTTTTCCACTGTTGGGCTGATGAACATGGCATTGAAGATGACATGTGTTAGCCACTAACTCTTATCGACTTAGATCAACTCAAGATCGCCACTCGCACTTCGGTGGTCGATACAAGAGGGGTCAAAGTAGATGGGTGAGAGCCAGTCACGAACTTAGATAGTCACGAAGAACGGAGTTCGATGTTAGGTAGAATAAACCTTAGCCGAAGCTGGGTTTTAGGCCAGCTGAGGCTCTACTTAAATACACGTTGAGTAGACTAAAAATAGTACTGTGAGAATGTCCAATCAGAACCGCAGCATGGAGTAAGCGTGAATGCGTAAGAAAAAGGAAAAGAAATGAATAACCGTAACATTACCCCCCCCTTAAGACTCGTTCGTCCCGAATGAGTCCTCAGTCTCCTCTCCGCTTTGTTGTGACTGACTGTAGAAAGATAAGACACTGTCATCATCGTTGTCATCATCTTCGCTGTCAAAATCCCAATTCTCAGTCACCTTTTGGAGGTGGTTTACATCGCCTTCATCGTCGGTAGGAGGATCGAGTAGGATTGGTGGGTTCCTATAGGGCCTGTTTTCCCGTCTAGAGTTTTTGATCTCCTGGGCGCGTCGTCGTAGATAGGAGTCGCGGACCTTAGCGTTATCGAATAGTGGATCGTCTTTCAGGGGAGTGTGTTTCCAAAAGTTGTCGTCCGAGACGTTGTTGTCCCGGAGCCACTTCTTGCTTTCCTCCTCTAATGTTCGATCCATCGCTTCCAATATGTCCACTACCAGCCGTTGGAAGGATGAGCTAGTTGAGACGGGTCCGTTTGCTCGTCCGGCATCCGAGGCCGCTACCTCCCCTATCACGTTGATTTCTTCGTCGGAATGCGCTGGAGCCGAGCATTGGGAGGAGTAGACGGTCTCGACTTCCGTAAGGCAAGGCGTGGCTGGGTCGTGATACTGGACGGGGAGGTTGCGTGGTATTTTAGGATCAATACCCACCGTCCGTCCATACTTGTTTACCTCCCATTGAATCCTTTGGATACGCGCCTCGTATTCGTTAACCAGCGTTTCCGCGTTAGCCATGTTGGACCGTTTAACCCAGGAGTTCTCTTCCTTCAGGTATCCCTTCCATTTCACCAAATATTCCGTTATGGTGCGACGTGTTCTCCCTCGACCAACTACTCTGTCTCGTTGCTCGACTATCTCTTCGATTTCGTATTCTTCCTCATCTTCGATCAACTCTGGGGGTGGTCTCTGGGGTCGAGGTTGATTAGGGAAGGAGGGCGCGATGTAGGGCGTCAACAGAGACTCGTTAAAGCGGTTGTGGATTTTCCACGCGGCCGGTAATTTCAATTCGTATGCTGAGGCCCCCTTTTTTGCGATAATTGTGAACGGGCCCACTCGTCGGTCACCCAGTTTCTTAGTCGGTCGGGGGAGATGAAGGTTGGTCGCATCGAGCCATACCTTATCTCCGACTTGGTACTCCACGGCTGCTCCTTTGTGTTTGTCGTGGGCCTTCTTCATGGACTCCGCCGCCTTTTCCAATGATTTTCTGGCTTCTTCCTGCGCCTTTTCGATTTCTTCCACCATCTTTCCCGCTGCCGGAACCGTTGTCATTCGCTGAGGCTTCTTAATAACCTCCCCGTCCCTTCCGAAGATGACTTTATAGGGGGAGTATCCGGTGGCCGAGTGCTGTCGGTTGTTATGTGTGAACGCCGCCAACGGTAGCCACTCGCTCCAATCGTCTTGTCGGTCGTTGACGAACATCCTGAGGTATTTCTCGATCTCTTGATTAACCCTCTCAGTCTGTCCGTCCGTTTGAGGATGATAGGCCGTGGATGGGTTTCCTTCAACGTGTAGGAGTCGATAGAATTCCTTCATGAATTTGGAGACGAATACCGATCCCCGATCGGAGATTACTTTCTCAGGCATTACTCCATAGGGTACGTAGACGTAGTCCCTTAGGATTCTCGCGAACCCTGCCGACGTGAGCTGCTCATCGCACGCGATAGGGATAATGGCTTTAGAGAAGCGATCGACAATTACCAGTATAGAGTCGAAACCTTTGGAGTTTGGCAGCTTGGTGATCATGTCCACTGAAATGTGAGTCCATGGGCGAGCCGGAACCTCGTTGGGATGTAAGGGGGCCTTCTTCGGGCGACGATCCGCCTTGGTTCGTTGGCAGACGTCGCACCCCTTTACGTACGCTTCTATGTCTCGACGCATTCTTGGCCACCAGTAATCACGAAGTACCAGCTCCTTGGTTTTCTCAATACCAGGGTGGCCGGTGGTAGCGTGATCGTGTTTGAGGGCGATAATTTGCCCTCGAAGGTCGCGGTCTACCGGTACATAGATCCGTCCGTCGTACCATAGTAGATCCTGAGTGCGAGAGACACCCTTTTCGTGATTTAAGGAGTTGGATATCCCCCTATCCCAGCGATGAGGGTCATGTGTGGCCGCCTTGATCCTTTCATGCAGTTCCTCGGCGGTAGGCATAATTAACGCCCTAAAGTGTTCCGCCTTAAGGACCACTACGTCACGGTTGTCCTCCTTTCCTTGGTCATGATCAGCTCTTCGTGACAGGAGATCCGCTTTACGATTCTGCGCCCCCGGTTTGTGGTGTAGGGTAAACTGGTACTCCGCTAACTCAGTTACCCACCGCGCCTGTCGTCGGTTGAGCTTCTGAGGTTTGCGGAAGTACTGGAGATTGGAATGGTCTGTCCAAATCTCAAAGTCCTCCCTCGCTCCCATGAGGTACTGCCGCCACTCTTCAAGGGCGATCATTATGGCCAGGAGTTTCTTGTCATAAATCTCGTAGTTCCGCTCTGTGACCGACAACGCCCGAGAGAGGAAGGCTACGGGTCTCCACTTCTCGTCTTGCCATTGAGATAGGACCGCCCCTATCGCCCCCTCGCTGGAATCCGCCTCTAGGCGAAATCGCCCCTCATCTAGTGGGATGGCCAGTACCACATCCTCCCGGAATAACTCCTTGAGTTTCTCAAAGGCCTTCTGCTGCGACTCCCCCCAGCTCCATTCCTGCTTCCCAGTAAGGGATGTGAGAGGTTTGACGTGCTTACTGTAGTCGCGAATGAACCGCCGGTAAAAGTTACAGAATCCAAGGAAGGATTGCAACTCCTGCTTCCTTCGGGGTACGGGCCAATCGAGGAGACCCGCGATCTTGATGGGGTCCATCCAGATGTTCCCTTTGCTAATGATCACCCCGAGATACTCGGTTTCCTCCACCTCAAACTCGCATTTTTCCGCCTTTAGGAATAGCTTGTTCTCTCGTAGGATCTGCAGTACCTTTCGCGTGATACGCTTGTGTTCAGCCTTCGTCTTGGAAGCGATAAGTATGTCGTCCAAATAGACAGACACCTCCCCTGCCGCGATGAGGTCCTTGAAGATGTCATTCATCATCCACTGGAATGTGGTGGGAGAGTTGGTGAGTCCGAAGAACATTACTAGGGGCTCGTAGAGCCCACGGTTGGTTCGGAAAGCGGCTTTCCACTCATCCCCTTGCTTAATCCTCACGTTGTTGTAACCCCAACGAACGTCCAACTTGGTGAAGTATTTAGCCTTTTTCAGTCGGTCCATTAACTCCCCGATAAGCGGCAGCGGATAACGATTCTTGATAGTCATTTCGTTTAGTTTTCGGTAGTCCTGGACTGGACGTAGTTTGCCATCTTTCTTTTTTACAAAGAAGAACGGCGAAGCCATGGGAGACTTCGAGGGTTGAATTCGGCCAGTAGACAGGTTCTCGTCCAAGAATTTGTCTAACTCCTCCTGTTCGGCGTGGTTGAGAGGATAGACCTTGCAGTCTAGATTGGCGTTAGCGTTGGGGATCAGTTCAATGGCGTGATCCCAGGGTTTACGAGGGGGCAACTCGTCGAAGTTCTCCTTATCAAAGATGTCCCCGAAGTCGCGGTACTCTTCGGGTACGATCTCCTCGAACGATTTGGTGGTCTTCTTTGCATTGGCCTGGGCGGCCAGTTCGTTAGCTTTGGTCCCCATTGCCTGTACGTGAAAAGCCTCCTCGAAGTCAATGACCAGAATTGTATCT